CTGAATGGATGTTCAACATGTTCATTCACAATCGTAACTTCCTCCTCATTATCATCAACAACATCTTCCTCGGCAACGGGTGTTTCATCATCAAAATTCGGGTATTGACCAATATCAAAATCATTACACGCAGGGTCTGTTTCTTCTTCTGAAACATCATCAAAATCCGTGTATTGACCAATATCAAAGTCCGGGTATTGACCAAGATCAAATTTCGAATACTGACTAGTACTCACAATTTTTTCTCTTGGCTCATCATCGTCTAATTGGTCAATACGAAAACCGGAATTTGGTGCTGAAAGTTGATTTGGATTTGGATTAGAGAAAGGCTGTGGGTTTTGAGACCCACTTAGTTGATTACTACCCGCTACTGACCCAACAATACTACTTCTAGGTTCAACAACATACAATGTAACATCATCACTTGAAACATTAATGTAAGCAATGAATCGTTCAACATCTTCATTGTCGGTTAACAAATAAACTTTACCATTTCTCTGATAAGATAGCCTAAATTCACTTAGGGGCTCTAAATTCAATTTCTTTGAAACACATAACATTAGGGTTTCATAAGTTAACTTCTTTAATGACAGTTTTAGTTGAAGATTCATGGGTAAAGGCATATATTGTAAAACACCATGAACATTCTCCCATGACCCTCCAAAACACAAATCTATCCAAACATGATCAACATTAGATGATTTCATGGTTGTAACTAAACAAACGAGAAGCGAAACTAAGACCTGTTTCCGGATGGGGAAGGATGTCGTTGGATATTGGAACGGATGTCGCCGGAGAGAGTGATAGATGGAGATGGAATGAGTTGCGATTTAGGGATTTAGGTTATGAGTTGTTGCTGCTGCGTATATATATACACAAAAAATTTGGCTTGCGAAACTAAAACCTGTTGCGAACTTTGAAACTCGCATTGCGATTCTGTATTATCTCGTTGCGAAATTCAGAATCGCGTTGCGAAAGGCAATCATTTAACCATCGCAATGCGAAATGCAAATCGCAACGATAGAATCGCAATGCGAAATGAAAAAGGCAACGAGGATTAACATGCATAAACTTTTAACAATTATTATTGAATTCTAGGTACTTAACCAAACATTTTCAAACCAAAAGGAGTATATATGTTAACAAAACTTGCATTATGTGTATTTTATGTGTGCACTTTTAACATTTTCAGTTAGGCATGTATTAGTAACTTGAGTTTGAACATTGCTATGATCTGTTCAGTTGTCATCACTTATTAGACATTCATTTGACTATCGCAACGCGAAAATGGCTATCGCAACGCGAAAATGGTTATCGCAACGAGAAAATCGCAATGCGAAATGAAAATCGCATTGCGATTTTCTCGTTGCGATTTTCATTTCGCATTGCGATTTTCATTTCGCATTGCGATTTTCTCGTTGCGATAGCCATTTCGCGTTGCGATTTGGGCCTCTTGAACGATTGGAGGGGACTCTTGAGGGATGACCGGTGAGTCGGGCTTCTTCTTGCGGAGTCTTCGCACCATTGGGGTGAACGGAGACGTAATAGCACGTCCACACCGTCTGATGCGTGAACTCCGTCGTGCAAGGAAAACCCGACGTAAAGCATCCACCTTATCGGGCCGCTAAAAAAATTAATACATAAATCAGTAAATAAACAGACATGATATTAAACAAAGACAAATATGTTTCAAACTAGCATTGTATTCACCCAAATCATTATTCTATCATAGTTCACAAAATGCTCAGATAACATTCCAGAAGTAAGCACTTATATAAACATTTAAAAGGACAACATATATAAACATTCCAAAAGAAGAATAGTTTACTTTCGGAACACGAAACTTAAAATCGCAACGCGAAATGACTATCGCAACGCGGAAATGGCTATCACAATGCGAAATGAAAATCGCAACGACAAAATCGCAACGCGAAATGAAATCGCAACGCGAAACACAAATCGCATTGCGATTTTCATTTCGCGTTGCGATTTCATTTCGCATTGCGATTTTGTCGTTGCGATTTTCATTTCGCATTGCGATAGCCATTTCCGCGTTGCGATAGTCATTTTCGTGTTGCGAAATAAAACTATTATTCTTCTGCAAATTGAAACTTGAATGGATTGCATTACTTCAACCAAAAGACAAAACCAAAAACAAATACTAACAAAAACAATTTAGCAGTATTGGCAGCAACCGAATGAATTACGAGTATGAAAAATCTTAAACTTACCTCGTTGCGTAGAGTATGAACCTCATTCTGCAGCGATGCTACCATCTCACGTAGAGCGGCTACCTCACCGCGTAATGTAGACACCTCAACACGCCATGCACCATCGTCTTTGCGTAAAGTACCGACCTCCTCACGCAAGGCATTGACCTCATCACGTAACTCCCCTAACTCATCCCGTTGAGGTGGAGGTGGAGAACAGGGAGATAAACGTCGTGGCATCTTTGCCGGTCGCCTATCTTGCGGTAATGGTGGAGAAGAGGCTCGATGATGTGACAGAATAGGTGATGGCTGGCTGTCGTTGTGGAGGTGTATAGCCGGGTCGATCAGATGATGGCTCTGGGTGAAGTGATAGCTCTGGGCGAGGTGATGGCTCCCGAAGTGGAGGCTGCTCATCAACCGTTCCATCAAAAAAACGCTTACTAGCTTGCCACCAATCAGTGGCAAGCTCAGCTTCCGTGGGTGTCAGCCTCTGTAGAGGAGTGTTGGCCTCCTAACAATATAAAAGCTCAAACAAAGTTAAACGTGTACTAGTAATAACTTGTTTATAAACATATGGTAGTATTTATGTTAACTTACATTATTTATTGTCGTATACCGTAGTAAATCTTCCCATTGCAAGGTCCGTTTCCTCTTCCAGGAAATAGCCCTGGGAATATCATTTGAAGTTTTTATTGCATATGTCTTCATGGCGGGAAAGGCCTCAAATATCCAAATCTACAAACAATATAATAACAAACATTAGTAATTGTTAAATAATTACTTATAATTTTGGAAACATCATATAAAAATTCTTACCTTAAAGGCCCAAATAAAGCCTGTCAAAGTGTATTTGGAACCATCGCCATGCAAACTTTTTCGATCATCCAAGGCAGACGATAACTTATTCCATGTAGCTTTCCATAAATACGAGCCCCACGGAAACAGGTTCCACGCATTTAGGTCTTCTACCAATTTGATTAGATCATTTGGAATAGGTTGTCTGGCCTCTCTGCCTAAAAAGCCGGCATGCAAAAGAATTAGAAGGCATACTCGGACAACGTCGACGTCATCCATCCGAGTAAAACCATCTTTATTATTCAAAAATCTTGTCAGGTCTTCTACGTGTAGACTCGGCCTCTCCAGCTCAGGAAAAACCCGGGATAGCCATGATGGGCGGGTAATGTGTCTAGTGTACCGACCTACATCATCGTGTCCGAAGCGTAGACCGGTGATTAAGCAAAACTCCTCCCGCCCAAAACACGTATACGCCGGTGGAAAATCAAACCATATCTCTTCATCACGACGTTGTATAGTCTCTGGTAGATCGCTAGTCATGGTTTGAAGAAACAGGTGTGTCAACATCGCATCTCCACCGGGATGTTGTACTTTCAGCCATGGCCCGAAGCATGTATCCTCAAACATTTTTCTTTGTGCAGGTGAAAGCTTCGACGCAATTGTTTTGGCCAGGCTGACTTTATTTCTCAAGGTCAATTGAGCCGAATAAAAGTTCTACAAAAACAATAAACATACTAAATTAGATATACCAAAAACTACACTGTGAAGATATACCAAAAACAATAATAAACATAAATAGTAGTAGTTTATTCTTCAAACTTAAATATGCAACACTGTGAATTTCGTATTTGTCTTTGTTTTTTGGTTGAAGTAATGCAATTCATTCAAGTTTCAATTTGCAGAAGAAGAATAGTTTCTGAAAATGAAAATCGCAACACGAAAATGACTATCGCAACGAGAGAATCGCAACGCGAAACTAAAATCGCGTTGCGATTTGCATTTCGCGTTGCGATTCTTGGTTGATTTAATAAGCAATCTAAGTGAAATGGTTAATCTATTATTGAAATTACCAGTAAACTTATCATCAATTTCAATATGAAAAACCTAATAATAATGCAAAAATTTCAAAAAGAAAATAATTAAAAAAACTAACCCTCGTTGGTTGATTTGGTTGATTTTCCATTTCTGATTGTGAGGGTGGCTCTGAGAGATGGAGATAGACGGATTTCGTCGGAGATGGGGACGGATTTCGTCGGAGATGGGTGAGAGAGTGAGAGATGGAGATGAGACTGAGTTGTGATTTTAGGTTTTAGGTTATGAGTTGCGATTACGGGATATACTGTGGACAGTTCAGTGTTCCAATATATTAATATTCATGTTTGGAATTTAAAAATAAAATACTTGGCCAGGATACTAATGGCGCTTTGAAAATCGCATTGCGATTATGTATTATCGCGTTGCGAAAGTCAGTATCGCGTTGCGAAAGTAAGTATCTCGTTGCGATTTTTTATTATCGCATTGCGATAGTCAGTATCGCATTGCGATAGTCAGTATCGCATTGCGATTTTCCCAATTCGCGTTGCGATTTACTTATTTGCATTGCGATTTTCCCAATTCGCGTTGCGATTTATTTATTCGCATTGCGAATTGGGAAAATCGCAACGGTACTGTAGACCATCGCAACGCGATTTTCAACTATCGCATTGCGAAAATGCAACGCGAATTTGCGATAATGGAGATCACGTTGCGAATTAGCGATCGCATTGCGATTTTGTTGGTCATTTTGGCAAATCCGGAAAAAGTTGATTAAAATCGTATATTATATGAGATTTTTGGTCACTGAGATTATTTTCTCTATTAAAAATTATATTTATCCTATTTTATAATTAGATGAGAAAAATAAAAACTTAAGTTGATCAATGGAGGTTTCCCCCAAAAAAAATCGCAAAAACGGTGTTTTACTTTCAGTTCACTCATTCACAAGTTCTCTTCACTAGTCACGTTTTGAAGATGCTTCCTCTCTACTCCCCTTCCTCTTTTCAATCTCCAAAAAGTTAGCTTTTTACCTGTTGGTTTTGCTTTTAGGGTTGTCCAAATCTCCAATTCCTTTTGCCCGAAGGTAAAAGCTCGTATTTAGCTAACCCCCACTGCCCCGTTGCTTATGTTTAAATGTAAGAGGCTCGATTGCACTTTCTCAAGCTATTTTCATAAGCAATTCCTAACAACAAATTTATGTTTTTTAATCACTAATTGGTTTTCTTTGTTTTCTTTTCTTTGCTCTCAGAAATCAATGGATTTCTCAAGGCAAAAGCGGATGTTGCAATTCTGGATTGATAAAGTACGTGATTAACGATGTTGGGTTTTTTTTAATAATCTTTTTACTAGCATTACTATTTTATTTTCAGTGAATAGTTGATATAGAAAAGAGTACGTATGGATTATCGAATACCCATACTTCCTAATAGTTCAAACTTCAACGCTTTGATTTGTATTTTTTTGTTGTATATACATTAACTGTATATTCCTTTTTTTTTCTTGTGTAATGGTCAACAATTGGCTTTGAAGCATACTAGGGATGAATTCCCTGTCTATTATCATGGTTTTGTGCTGAGTGAATTTTATGTCCTTGAGTTATATTAGATTTTATATTTTCATTTTGAGTTTAAGGTTTTTTGCAGATTGGAAATATTCTACTTCGATTATCGTGGCATCTAGTACATGCTATTATCTACTTATTCTACTTTACGATGGACATGGTGCATGCGCTTGAAAGCCATCTTATCTCTCGGGGATTACTGAGGAAATACAAGTCCCTCCATATATCCAAGATAAACTATCTGGCAATTGTGATGGAAAGTGAAGATGCTTCCCGAACTTCAAATGTTATTCAGCTTTTGCAATGGGTGGTAGCTCTTGGTATCAACCATATTTGCCTTTATGATAATGAAGGTGAGATTTCTGGATTCTCACCATTGTTAGATTGATCAGGTGAAGATGTGTCCGCATTTTGTAGTTTCTGGTGCCATTTTTATGTTTTAGGAATACTGAAGAAGTCAAAAGACTTTATCTTGAACAAATTCGATGGTGCAATATTGTTTCAGGTACTATCCTCTCTGCTCATGGTCAGATCAAGAGTTTTTCATAGTTCACTATGACTTGTTGACAATATATTCTATATAAATTGGATAAAATGGCTGATCATTTGGAAACCTAACTGTCATGTGGTGCAGCATCGAATTGATCTTTCATAATAAGGTTCTTTATGGTACTACGCTACCAAAATATTGTAGCTGAAGATTAACTTTACAGTCTGCAAACCTTAAAACTCCTATTAACAGTATGATGCAATTTTGGAAGATTTATACTGGTTTTGTCCTTGACTGCTTCTTGTACTTTTTGGACTATTATTTGATTTCTTTCTCATAACCTTAGTTTAAGAAGCTTACTTCATGCAACATATGTATTGCCTGGCTCCTATTATGTATCTTGTCATTGGATTATTCTGCGACATATATTGATTCAAATGGAATGTTTCCAAAAGTTCTAAACTACTAGCAAAATTTTGATCTATTTTATGCAGGATACTCATGAAGATAAAATGCTACTAAACCAACCATGTAAGACTCTGGAATTTGTATCATTTTCTGATGGGAAAGAAGCGGTCGCAAGAGCAGCCAATGTACTTCTTATGAAGTATATAAAATCAGGTGCCACTGGCTCAAACCTGGGAGAACAAATCTTCAGGGAATCTCAAATGAGCGAGGCACTCAAAACTGTTGGTTTGTGTTACTTTTGTGATCTATTTGGTAGTTATTGCAACCAGTTTTGTTTGCTCTGTTAATTTGACGTTTGGTAATCTTCTTTTCTATTAGGCAGTGGAGGGCCAGAACCTGATCTAATATTTTAATATATGGACCTGCTAGGTGCCACTTAGGTTTCCCTGCCTGGAGAATGCGATATACTGAGATTCATTGAGTATTATCGAGTCTTGACCTAAATTCTTTGGAATCAAGGAAAGTACCTTGTTGTTTTCTTATCTGCCAAAGATGCTTAGTTGGGACTTTGACTGACGAAAGAATTTACAACTTTCTAGATGGTCTATTCTTCAGTACACCATTTTTTATTGAAGGGAAAAAAGAAGGAAAAAGGAAAAAAAAATGAAGAAAAGTAGATCTGGAGGATATTGTTTTTTTCTTCACACACCAAGGGATAATTCTACGTAGCTTCCTGTTTTGTTTTTTGTTTGTGATTTTAAGGGAAAAGTAACGATAAACACCAATGAACTTTGTAAAAGCTCTATTCAGTTTATTGTTTCTGTTAAATTTTTGGCATTTTTTTTCTTTCCTATGCATGATCAGTTGTCTTAGAAGTATTTATTTGCTTCTTGCCCTGCGGATGTAGTGTCTGTGTAGATTCTACTTTGTTAAGAGCTGAAAGTTACTGTAATTGCATAACTTTATACCCTTTTTTTTATAAAATAAATCCTTCTTTCATGCATTCTACTTTGTTAAGAAGTTGGCATGTTACGTTTGATGAAAACATTTTTCCGGTGAGCAAAAGACTTGGGCTATACCTTTTCCTGTTGAAGCTAGCAATTCAAATCAGCAATATGGTGAGTGTGATATGCTTAATGATGATGGTCTCCACAAGTTGCATCATGGTTCTGGTCAAGATTTTAGCAGTGGTGCAATTAGTGTTGCATCTGATGGTGATGGAAGATGTGTCACAATGGAAACTTGGACAGAATCTACTAGTATAAACATTGAGCAGTAAACAGCAAGACAGGGGGAACAGGTGGCTTCGGGTACTGGGTAGCGTAAAGATGTGCAAAGTAGTCCTCTAGTGCCCTATACGAATCAACAACAAAGTGCTCAAAATGATGAGATGATCACTGGGGAACCCAACATTCAATCCAATGTTGTGCCTATTGAAGGGTCAATTGTTGTAAAATATTAGGCCAACAATACTCACTGCATGCTCATACGTAGTAAGGCAGGGATTTTCAAATCTAAAATCTACAATACCTTGTTTCATGAAACTCCTATCACTATGCAGGATGCTTTAGAGCATAAGCATTGGTGAGTTGCTGTGGAGTCTGAGATGATGTTACTTGATAATAACACGAGGAAATTGGTGACGTTACCTTTCGATCAGAAGGTTATCAGTTGCAAATGGCTGTTTCAGATCAAATATAAGTCTAATGGTTCTGTTGATCGATTTAAAGCGAGACTTGTGGCAAAAGGTTTTTCTCAAGTTCCAGGGTTCCAGGGTGTGATTTTGTAGACACGTTCAGTCCAGTAGTTAATTTCTTTACTATAAGTGTGTTGCTGTCTGATGTTACTTCTCGTGGGTGACAGGTTAGGCAAGTTGACGTGAACAACGGTTTTCTCAAAAGAGACTTGCAGGAAGAAGTCTATATGAAACAATCGGAAGGGTTTGAACATGTTGATCCTAATGGTGAACAACTTGTGTGTAAGCTTCAAAAGCGTTGTATGGTCTTCGACAAGCTCCATGAACAGTTTATTGTTTCTGTTAAATTTTTGGCATTTTTCTTTCTTTCCTATGCATGAACAGTTGTCTTAGAAGTATTTATTTGCTTCTTGTCCTGCGGATGTAGTGTCTGTAGATTCTACTTTGTTAAGAGCTGAAAGTTACCGTAATTGCATAACTTTAGTCCCATTTTTGTGCGAATAAATCCTTCTTCACGCATTCTACAGTTCTACTTTGTTAAGAGCTGAAAGTATTTTCTACAGACATATGGGACCCTTGAAGTCTATGAAATATGGGTCGCTAATTAAGGCAATTTACAGATTCACAACGGTGCGGCAAAACTATGGTAAGCAGTTTACCATTTGATTTGCACTCTCTGTTTGCTCCAAGTACAGATATGGAAGTGAAAATGTGAAAAGAGTAAAAAGAAAAAGAAAAAACGAAACCAAAATGTTTTTTACAGTAAAAGAATGGAACTGATAAAGAAAGTCTATTTTTGTGTAAAGCTTCAAGTGTGTTTCTCTCTGTTCTAGCATAATCTGCCTTACAGTTTATACTGCTCAACAACTACCCTAAATGTCCATTTATTTATTTAATAACTGAGCTATTCAAATCAATCTAATGATAGAATTTTGTTTTCATGAGACTAGTGAGTTGTTCTTCATGTTTCTGGCAAATTAAGTTTGTGCTAAAGAAGTTGACATATGCATGAAGGTGAATCTGATACGAATTTTTCATCTTCCAACAGGTAGATGAGGTGGTGCAATGGGAGATCATGTTCCTGGATCAGTTGAATTACATACTATATATGGAATAAATGCTACAGTTTGAAGTTTATAAATTAATGGCTGATAATCTCCCGGACAGAACAACTCTGTAGCCATGGGTGTTTGTTAATTAGAAACAATATTAACTCTTTTATTATGTGTAGATCACCAAATCCGGTGATGATATGGCAAACAACCAGTTGACATGGCATGGAGAACTGTGTACTTGAGATAAAGTCTAATGAGTTTTGAAAGAGTTATCGTAAAATCTAGGATGTTTTCACCCTTCAATTCACTTCCTAAATCACCAAAAACTGCAGGATTAAAGTCTACTTGATGAATTTTACCAAACATCAGCAACCTCAAGTGCAAGTGAACCCTAAACGCCACAAACAGTAAGTGGAGTTGTTACCAAGTTTTTTAAACATAAAGCAAAATTGAATTTTGGAAGGAGGATGACTAAAACTTAGATTTCAACTATTGAATAACGGCAACTATGTATAATGTAAAATTTTATGTTATGGACGAATTTCTAAAATTTTAAGAAGATATAAATTTATAAAATATTTAAGTGAGACTGGAAATAAATTATCAATAGAAAATATAAAAATAATCTAAAATCTATAATAATTTGAAATTTTTAGAAGGGGAGACGGTCTCCACCTCCTCTTTGGATCCATCTCTAATTATCAGTATGGATCAGTTCGATGTTGCAAAAATTTTGCTAGTATTAACATGTAATTTTACCCTTTTTTTACCGAATCAGAGTCCATTACCTAGCCGAGGCAGCCGCCTGTAGGCTGGTATTGACAATTATTGTGAATTTGTATTATTGATGATCCATCCCCCAACCACTATCCATTCTAAGCTCCATAAATGAATGTTTTGACCATCAACAACTACAAGTGATAGGGTACAGTGGATGCTATCTGTTGAATTTATAAAATTATAGAAATTATAAATAGTTTTCAAAATTTTATAAAGTCATAAAAACTCTTAATTGGATTGTTTAAATATTTATTTTGGTGGTTAAAAATTCTACTCTTTAGGTCAGGATTAAAATTTCAAAGGACTAAAAGTGCCTAACTTAGAATATAAAGACTAAATAAACCACAACAAAGGCTTTTCCTTTTGCCTATAAAAAGGAAGGCATCAAAGCCCTTCCAAAGCTAAAACAAACTTTTAAAAGGGAAAGCAAGCAAGCAAGAAGAAGATGAATCTTTCATATTCCTATTTGGTTCTTTCTTTTCAACTTCTACTTTTGATGGTATAGTCTGCAGTTCCTTTTCTTTCAACCATTTTTTATAACTCTCTTTTACGTCTAATTAAGTCTAATCTTAACTATTTTAAATCTGTATACAGTGTGGACATGAGATATATGCTGTGAAGGATTTGAGGGAAAATCAAGGGGATGTTTATCATGCCACGGGAGATGCCGTGAAAGAGTTTTCTCAACTTGTCAAGGAACTTGAGGATAAATATTCTAATGTTGCTGCTTGGAGATCTTCTGTCGATAAAAATCCCGAATTATCCTCTCAACTTGTCAAAGAACTCGAGGATGAATATGCTAATGTTGCTGCTTGGAGATCTTCTGTCGAAATCAATCCTGACTTGCCTTCTCAACTTGTCAAGAAATTGGAGGATAAATATTCTAATGTTGCTGCTTGGAGATCTTCTGCCGAAATAAACCCTGATTTATCTTCTCAACTTACTAAAGAGTTTGAAGATATCTAATGCTGTTAATTGGAGATCATCGATCGATAAAAAACGTGAATCGTCTTCTCAACTTGTTAAAGAGCTCGAAGATAAATATTCTGATCTTTCTGTCTTGAAATCTTACCTGGAAAAAGGTTCTGAACCATCTTCTCAACGTGCTAAGGGATTGGAAGCTATATATTCCATAATTAGGAACGTCTAAGGTAACATAGATGGAGCTTGAGAACAGGGTTTGACAAAAAATGGGAAGTAATATTATGCTTAATAAACTACCTCTCCAAATCTTGTAAGCAACCTAATTATTATGCTATATATTCCATAATTAGGAACGTCTAAGGTAACATAGATGGAGCTTGAGAACAGGGTTTGACAAAAAATGGGAAGTAATATTATGCTTAATATTATGCTAATTATTATAATATGTTGTCGCGCTGCTTCATCCATTAATTAAACGTGCATCGTCTTCTGGAAATTTAGCCATCATGTATGTTGATTTGTATCCTTCAATGTATCAGACTGGGTTATCCTTCTATTGTATTTCAGTTCATTATACTTTTTATCATTTACTTTTTCATATATTAATCATTACCATACACACACACACACACATATATATATATATATATATGAATAGAATCTACCTATACAATATATAAATCACAGTATCATACATTTGTAAATTTCGACGCATATCTCATCTATATCAGCCTTTTACGATACTTTCTTTCATTAACTTACGGATTTTTTTTCTTTGCATCACCAATCTTATGGTGATGGATGGCACCATCGATTGAACAGACAATTCAATTTAGAGATTCAAGTTCTCTTTAACAAAGTGGTCAAAAGATCTACATCCAAAGCATACCATGGTTCTCTTTTAGCATTTAAAGGTAACATTTTAAATCAGAACCATGAGATCTGAAGGTGTAGGATGCCCCCATCGGGCCACCGAAATGACCTCCATGTTCAAAAACCTTTAAAATTTTAGTCCAATATATTTAAAACTCTTTAACTTATTCACATTGGTAGTATTAAAACAAAATTGTCAAAAATGTTTATGCAAAACATGATCCTGAATATGACGCATTATAAATCAAAATTAAAATAATAATAATAAAGATTATAAAACGGAATACTAACAAAGTCCTATGAATACATATGCCTACTAATGTAAATTAGAAATTGTACTCTAAAAGAAGGTGTTGAAAATCCCTGAACGATGACGCTCCTTAGAGATGAATGTAATCAACAAATTGCGAACAAAAAATCCAAACACTAAACTTTGCAAGCTTAGTGACACACTTCTACTCTATTATATTTTATGCAATTCATAAATATAAGCGTGCAATAAAAGCATAGATATAGAGATCTAAGTCTAAACATGTATCATCACCACTTGAGATATCATACTTACTAATATTCATTGGCATACCTCGTGCGAGTATAATCAATTACAAAGCTAGTCTATGACTCTAGGACTTATTCACACAATCATATCAACAACAATAAGTTACATGTTATAACCTATCAATTATAGTTTTGTAATTTAGTCCATACAATTATAAATTTACAATTTTACAATTTAGTCCCTACAAGCCTCAACCTACCTTAAATTCAAAATTTTAAAAAATACCTCTATTGAATCAAATCAAATCAAAAACCATCTATTTCATTTTTTTTACCATTCCCACACACATTTCCTAAACTTTATAGCTAATTTATACTAATCAATTACGTTTAACAACTCATAAAGGTCATCCACTTGATTTACCCTTTGGCCTTTGTTTTACAAATTGATTTACACTAATATCTATTTTTAAAACATTTTTATTAAAAAAATCAAACAAACAAAAACTTAATAAATTAAGGGATATTAAATTGAAGTAGTGTGACTTGAGATTACACACAAGATTACATAAAGCTACGGAATAGCAGCACCATGTCTACTGGAGTAAACTCCAGTCATTTTCTTCCACGTCATCAACCCATTTCTCCAACTTTTGTCTCTTCTTCTTCATCCATTATTGTTTACAATAAGATCCCAGTCAGAGTCAGTCAACGTCTTCACCTTCTCTCGCTATTCCGATCTGGTCAGTTCATAGATCCCTTGAATCCTATTAATTTTCCTTCTTTTTAATGCTTGCTAGCTTGATTGATGCCTTTTGATTTCCTTTATGCAGCTTTAAGTTCAGATTAGCACCCAAAAGTCTGGACTTTTTTATGGGTTTCCATTTTGGGTTTTATCATATTTTGTTTTTTGTTTCATTTTCTTGTTTGATTAAGTGTGGGTTTTTTTCTATTTATTCCATGGATTATGCCTGACGCTGCAGATTTTATGACTTTTTAAGAAATAAAAACAAAATTTTGTTGTGGATTTGTTGGAAATCCGTGATTTTTCTTCTGAAAGTCACGAACTTGAAGTAGCTTATTTGATTTTGGAATTATTAAGTTTTCATTGAACTTATTAGAAGATGGGATCTCGAGTTTTTAACTATTTTGGTTCTGTTTTGCTGTCTTTTTATGATATTCATAATAATAGGAAAATCTTAGAAATTGGAAGTTCTTTTTGACAAAGTATAATTATAAAAACATGCATATAAGGTTGCCAATAGGACGCTTCAAAGCTAGATTTGACGTTGTGTTTTCAAACTTGGTTATTGTAAGACATTAATTGAGATTCAATTGAGAGCCCCTAGTATGGTGGTATTGGTGGTCATCATTGTTAACTCTTGTTTTCATGGTTCATTACATGGGTTTCTGCCGTACACCATACATCATCGTTGAGCTACTTCTGCTTTTAAACTTGCTTGAATTTTTTGCTTATTGTTCCTGAATGTATCTGTTTGTTGACATTGACTATGTGCAGTTTTGAAATTCTTCTTATTGGTTCTTCTTGTCTTGACAACATGGGTGTCTGCCTTAAACCATACATCACTGTGGTGTTAGTTTTGCTTTTTGCACGTGTTTTCTCGCTGACGTTATTGTACTATTGATGCATGCAGTTCTGAAATCCTTGTTATGATTGAACTTCTTAAGGCATTCGATTTTCTTTTATGCTCTTTGCTCGCCGTATATTCAAGTTATAACTTATGTTATTGGTTGCAGATATGGATACCAGTGCTGGCCCAAGCTTGTACCCTTTGCACCGCTGCAAAACTCTTCACTTGGTATTAAATTTATTTTTCCTTTTCATGTGTTATGTCCACTGCAGATTTGAAGCTGCTATATATTTGGTTTGAAGGATATTCAAGATTCCCTTCTTTCTTGGCTTTTGCTCGCAAAAACAAGGAATTGAGGTCTTATAAAACAATACATCCAGGTGAGGCATGCTCAGGGGATCCACAATGTAGATGGGGATAAGAACTATAAAGCATACATGTCACCAGAATATTTTGATGCACAAATTACTCCTCTCGGCTGGAAACAGGTAAGTAGCAGTCATTGTGTTATCATATATGTCCTTGTGCACGTTTTGAATCTATTTTCATTCAAGTCATGCTCTTATTGATAATCCAAAACATACTCATGAGAAGAGTTCTATATGAAGCCTTGTAACTTTGCAGGTGGATAATTTGCGCAAGCATGTCCATGAAAGTGGCCTCACTAAGAGGATTGATTTAGTGATTGCATCCCCTTTGCTAAGGTAATGGAGCCAGGATTTCATACTCTTTTCAAGAATCTTTCCTTGATTAATTCTTCTTATGCCCTTCATGTTATTGTTGTAACATGGAGGTTAAGAAGGGGGTTTTTAACGAGGCCTATCCAATTTCTATAAAAAAAAAATTAATTCTTCTTATGCCGTCTTTTGAATTTAGTAATCCAATGGGCATGAAGTTGAACCTATATGAATGCAGGTTTCTTGTTCGCTAAATTCTTGAATTTATTTTGGCTAAAGAGCGGGAAGCGTAGGAATCTAATCTAGATACTGCACTTTCTCTTCTTTGAGCCGAAGTTGTTTGCACAAATTTTATGTTTTGAGCATTAAATCATGTTGCCTAACGACTTCATAACTTTATGTATCAACCCATTTATAATTGGTAGCTGATGCTCAATAGTTTTACAGAACATTTCCTTATAAGATAATTGCTTCTTCTAAGGTTCTACCTAATCATCTTTAACTTTTTGAATGGAACTTTCATTATGTGAAACAGAATGCGAAAGGAGTAATGCTAATGACTCCATTGAGTTTCATATTAAGATCTAGAGCTAATCTGTGTGATTGGGGCACAAAACTTGATTCCTTATTCTGTTGTAAATCTTTTCAACTGAGTACGTTGTTGGAATTATTACTGCCAGTACTTGTGACTAGTTTATTCATTTAGTCCAAGTCATTTGATCTTCAATGAAGCTGTTTCTTTTTGTTCTGGAAAAGATGTTAGTCTGCTATAAGTTGTTTCAACTAGGCTCCAAAGTTATTTTTCAGAATTTGAATTGGTGAAGGCTTAGTTTGGTAAAGCTCCATATTGATTTAGTGAAGATATTGTATTGTGTAGAATCATAATTAAGCGTTGGTGTTCTTTGAAGTTTAAATTTGGTTTATAAAACACATGATTAAATCATCAGGCATGCATTAATTGACTATGGTCGTGGTATGTTATAGGACATTGCAAACAGCTGTTGGGGTTTTTGGTGGTGAAGGTTATACGGATAGGATGGATGTAGTGCCACTTATGGTGGCAAATGCAGGAAATAGTGGGCGAGCTGCAATTTCAAGTCTAAACTGCCCGCCAATCGTTGCAGTAGAACTTTGTCGAGAACATTTGGTTAGTCTCATTTCACATTTTTGCAGAAACGGTTCCCTCTCAATGTATTGTTTTTGGATACCGTATTCGGTTAATGGATAGCCTTATGAACGCTTGCATAGAGTCCCAGACTCCCATTTTCTCAATTTATTGAGATGTGTTTGACATATTTGGATATAGTATGATACTCCAAATATATGAAAAGCATAAAAAAAATTATCTTACCTATGTTGTATAGACACAGACATTCCCCATATTAGACACTCATTCTGTGTCTGGATAACCCAGGCAAAGTTTAGCATCTATCGATGAATTGTTCTTATCAGCTTTTCAGGGTCTTGATTCTCATTCTGTACTAGGTGTTTGACTGCCCGAGTTTATTTTTGTGATATCTCTTGATGGTAGTCTGTTTCAGGGTTCATTTTTATATTCTCTCTTTATGCTTTGACCTACTAAAATTAGTTTCTTTGCTTCTATATACTGAGGCTTAATCTCTTATATTATTTTTTTCTTTTGCAGGGAGTCCATCCTTGTGATAAGAGAAGAAATATCAGTGACTATCAGTTTCTTTTTCCTGCAGTTGATTTCTCTCTGGCAAGTGATTTGATCTCTAAGATGCCCCTGAAATGGGGTACTGTTTCAAGTTTTGATATCCAAACCAAATGTGGTTAGATGCTTGGTCATTTTTAAAGGTGTACGTTGAATGTCTTTTGAACTGATATTCAGATAGAAAGTGATGAGGACATGTGGTGGAAGGCTGACATTAGGGAGACAAAAGAGGAACTCACGGCCAGGGGGTTGAAGTTCCTGAACTGGTGCATACCTTATATTATTCTTCATTTATTATATCTCTCCTTTAATATTTAGATCATTGTAAACGTGTGTAAGAAGACCCTAATTGGATGGTATATAGAAACTACATCTTACTTGGGGCCATTTGAAATCATTGTAGATTTCTGAATAGCATAATCAGAATTGATCATATTTTGGAAGGCAAGGATAACTTAAACCAAACAATGACTGTTCCATTATATCTTGATTTCTTGCAACTGAAGTTTCTGATATTGCTTTTTCAAGTACTGTCCTAGGAAATCTTTCTAATTGACCCATCTTCTGTTTTATTTGATTTACTCTTTTGTGAAATGTATAACTTTTAACAAAGTTCTTTGAATTTCTTATATCTTTTCATGTCTTTTGAGGAGACAAGTGAAAAGGTACAATGATCAAGTTAATGTTTCATTTGCTTCACAGGTTGTGGACACGGAAAGAGAAGGAGATAGCTATTGTTACCCATAGTGGGTTCTTGTTTCATACGTTAAGTGCACTTGGAAATGACTGTCACCCATTGGTGAAGAAAGAAATCTGCAAACAGTAAGTATGCTTAAGTGCCTTTCACTTTAGCTGGCCAATCCTGTGAATCTAGGTTTTTTTTTCCCTTTCAGTAATGACTACTACTTTGCTAGTTTCTGTTCCACTCGATGCAATTCATCTGCATCAAATCTTTTCAGCTGCCATATAATGCAACTTTTCATTTAATACACTTCACAATTGTTACATATATATGGCTCGGAAAGATTAAGCAAGGTTTATAGTACTTATGGCTGCATGTTGTCGTGCTTATTACCTGCTTCTTACGCCTCTCTTTTCATTGCACAGCTACTAGCTTTTGACCGGGAAAAAGAAACATCTTGGATCTAGTCAAGTTTGATGCATGAATTCCCGCATCATAAACTAGTTTTTATACTTCTATTTGTTTGACTTATTTTGGTTATACTCAAAAGTTTTGTAAGGCGGTAAAAGTTTCTTGATCAAAAGGTATCTTCAAACAAGAGTGGAGGGTTGTTCTAACAATACAGAAAGTGCATAATGATTTTTAGTGAATAAAAAGGATAATTATAATCAAACATGGTTAACTTTTGTCTAAATTTATTCGAAAATGCTTCCTTCAAATGATGATAAAAAAGAGCCTTAAATATGAATCCTGCCGACTAGAATTAAGTGAATGTGTTACGTTTCTCAAAAAGAAATAACACTTCTCCCTTGTACTCGCAGCTTTGCAAATTGTGAGCTTCGTTCTATGGTCATTGTTGACAGAAGGTAAGCTAATGTAAAACGCAAACATTTTGCTATTTCAGCATGTATTAAACTTATGACTGCTCGATTTTGGCTTGTTCATGCTCTTATCGACTCTTTTTCTCTCTAGTATGGTTGGATTTGACCCTTCGACAACTAATTATCCTGGAAAGATTCCATCAGGATTGGATCTCCCAAGTGATGTTGTCGATGAGAAGGCTGAAGAAAGGAGTTGATACATTTCTGTCTAAACATTATGTTTCATGCTTGTGATTTAGCAATACCATTGTCAGAAACTCATAATTAGGTATGGCTTATTCTACTACATTATTTCAAGATTCGCTTCCGATGGTGATTTTGGCATGTGGATGAGGAAATTCAACATCGTACTTAAGATACAATGGATTGTAAGAAATTTGTTAAGAACCTGCTGTTGGAATTCCTATGGTTTGCAAAGAAGGGAGGTTACAGGGCCCTCTAGTCTCAACCATCTTTATGTTATACTCTAAAATTTCAATATGGACACTCTTATCAGTTCTACCTTTATCTTTTATCAGATAACTAATCGTAAAACCGAAGTCGATAACACTAGGCAGGTCTCAGAAAAGTACTAGAATCAGATACATCAGTTTTCTCGAAGTATGGCTCATCAGTATGATAACAGATAGCTTATTCAACCATATATTAAGAAACATTGCTTTTGGATAAATAATCATATATTAGATTCTTGAAGAGCTAGAGGGCTTGCTATAAAATGTAGTCCGTGCATCTTGGAGCTGTAAGCAGCTTCTATTTGATATTTAAAATGTCATAGAAGGATGCAGGTTTCTTCCTGGATTTAGCACAAAGTTCCTGCAAACATTAGATGATTGTTTTAAGTGATGCATCACTTCATACAGTCATACAGAGTTGAGGATATCTTGCTTGAAAGCAATATAAAATTCGTTTGTACCTCGATTGCAGAAGCCAAACGTAAAATTGTAGCTTCACCCCATGGACGGCCGATTAGTTGCAAGCCTATTGGAAGGCCTTGTTTGTCATAACCAACCTGAAACCGGCATGATGAGAATTCATAGCAGAATGTTGAAGCACCCTTGTCTCTAGTTGATTGTTTATAGTGAATATTTACATGCCAATGAGGAAAGAAATGCAGATCACTTACAGGGACGGTAATGGCCGGAAGACCGAGTAGATTACCAGCAAGAATGAACCGCATGAGATAACCTGAAACAGAGTGAACCATGCATCAGAAAATGGTGAAACTAGAATATGCAAGAGTAAATGAACAAGTTTCTCGGTATAATGAGATGACAAACCTGTAACCTGCATATCTGTCTCTCCATCTTTCAAAGCACTAGGTGGTATTTTTGGTGCTGTCATGCTGTGGTGCAAAAAAAAAAGAAAAAAAAAAGGCATGACCATCTAGTGCAAAGATTTTTCATTTGGAAATTCTAGTGTAAATAATGCGTGGGAGTAAGGAAATCATTTCTAAGAAACAGAGCTTGGATTCCTTAAGCGTGCACAAAAAATGGAATCTGGCAAATTTTCACAGTGTCCCATCTTTTCTACTGACTCAGTAATGTTAAACTCTTGAAAGAAAATGCTTGAATCAATTCATTAACAGAAGTTGTTGCAACTGGTAATGCTAAACATACATACCCAGTAGTTGGGGTCACTATGACATCAGCCTTCTTGAAGATCTCCATGTGATGGTGCATTATCCTTCGTCTGAAAGGCCAAAACAAGTCGGACGCATTATAAAGCGGAACCAGAGTTCAAATATCCCAAATATCATTAATATATGTTTTTGCTAATAAAGTGAAAGGTCTTCCCCCTGTAAAGATCAGGAAAAAATATTTTCCCATCTGTTGGATCACTTTCTTTTTTAATTTATTTATTTAATTTTTGAGAAGTTTACAATCCATTTAACAGATGGGTAGTTTATGGAGGGGTGATATCAAAGAATATTTCTAACGTTTGATTAAATAATTATTTTGGTCTCAACGTTTTATTTTAGGATAAATTAATCCCTAGTTGGATGGTAACCATTAGTTTACTAATGTTCAACACATTTTGCTGACGTAGAAAGTTGTGTCAAAAGTGATGGTGTGACACGTGTTATATGTCAAAACTGATGATATGGCACATCTCACATGTTCAATGTGATGATATGCCACATGCCACATTCTAAAGTGATGACATGTCACTGCCATCACTTTCGACACATGGCATGTGTCATGTCCTCACTTTGGACACGTAGGATTTATCATCTCAACCACATGCATTGACCGTTAGTCAACTAACAGTCTTCATCCAATCAAAAATTATTTTGTTCAGAAACGAAACGTTGAGGCCAAAGTGCTTGAAAAAAAAAGAACTAAAGTAACTATTTTATTAAACATTAGGGATGAATTTGAACATTATGCATTATATATAGATCACAAGATAAAGCAGCATATTTGTAAGTCAAGCCATTGCCATTCAGCCTTACCTAAGACATTGAGCAGCAACATAGTCTGATGCAGTGAATGATCGGAAAAATGCCATACTAGTACGAGTATCATATGTTAATTTCACCCCTTTCCTACAGAATTTAGAAAGGAAATGAGGCCGTTATCTGCCAAACATCCAAAATACTTTCATAGAACACAGAGCTTAACTAAGTTGGTTTATGCCGCCATCCTTTCATTAAGTTTGGAATTCGAATCCCAATATTTGCAACTCTTTCTTTATCCTCGTTTTAGCTAGTTAGATATGGTAAAAGCAAAGAACCATACCCATCTTCACAATCCGGATTTAACGAGCACAGTGTTTCTGATCCAATTGAAACAATATGAGCAGTGCGCATCTCATTTAGTTCTGGTATTACTATCTCTATTGTCTTCAAACATAACAACATCAGTTTCATATTAACATAAATATGTTAATGCTAAAGTTGAAGAAAATGGGAATTGGGAGCAAGAATAACAGGTGAAACCAACTTACTTCACATCCATGGTTTTTGGACAAAAGGTGAAGAACATCTTCACAAACACTCGAGATATCATTTGAATGTACATCATTAAACCACTGTAGGAGAAAACTATATACTGAGAAATATTTCTTAAAGAAAATATAGAATATTTACTTAAAACAATGTATTTTCCAGAGAACAAGGGGAACTACCTCTGTATACTTCCCCAGTCGCAATGATCCCAAAGTGGTTGCATTCTCAAGTGATGACAAATCTGGAAAACAAGGGGGAGGCTACAAAAATACCAGTACAATAATGATTAAATAATGTAGATGCAAACAACATAAAGTGCAGTGCAGTCATATGTTGCTCAAACTTGGATGAAATTGGGTACATGTATGTGTCCAACACGGATATATTCAATTTGTTTCTGTTTTTTTCCTGTTTTGAGGAGTTTTTAGAGGGTTAAACCCTTGCACATGTCTAGATATGCAGCAAAATGTACTGCAAGAAAGATTAAAAGTAGAAAAGTAAATGAGTGAAGCTACTTGAGCAACTTGGGTATGATAACTAAAGCTCAACTGAGCTCGAAATGAAGCTTTGAGACTCGAGTTTTCAAATCGAGCCAGCTCAAGCCTGGCACTGGATTGACACAATTGCACCCTTACGTGCAAGAGTGATTATCTTAATTCAAATAGATACTTAAAAAGACTATATGGTTCCATAAAATGAAAAAGTGTACATGGTCCGCAGAAAACTTTATAGAATTTAAGGAACAGCATTTAGCACAGGTAAATATATCAAAAGTTTGGACAAATATTAATAAGGTTCTCGAGGTTACCGGTCTGAAACAGATTCTGTCCTGTGGAGAAGAACCCAAAATTGCTGCATACCTGAAAAACCTCAGTAGAGTTAGCAAGATTAAGAAAACACAACTTTACCAATATTTATTAACTATGTTTCTTGGACTCAAGTGTGATTTCGTGTATATGTTCGACTAGAAATGTTTAACTTTTTTTTTTCAAACTTTTTCATGTATTTGGAGGGTCTTTGGAAGATCATACATCCGTAACTATGTCTAGATATGCGTCAGGTGTAGGTGCTGAACATGAATTTTTCAAGAAAAATGAAGAATTAGAGTAGCATATCTTCACACCATTACCAGAAAGTTCAACCTCTTCGTTTACCAAAAATGCAAATTATAAATGGTCTAACTGCTTAGAAATTACATCAAAATGTTACTAAATTACTGTAATTCAAAAGTGCCTGAGTTTTACACTAGTATGACATCCTCCACCGTTGAGGCTATTGGTCCAATGATTTCCACGGTCCCAGAATCACATAACGACCTGTGGAGACAAAAAAAAAATTAAAAAATTAAAAAATGGGCCCCGGTCATCTTAAAAAAGGTTTTCTTGAACTTCATAGAAATTGTCTTTACAATTGCCATGATAACCAACAAAGTATTCAGAAAACATAAACCAGAATGCAGCCTATAGAACAAGACCTTACCCTTCCATGCTCGTCCGCCCATAAGTCGTTTTCAAGCCCACAACACCGCAAAGGGATGAAGGAATACGTACAGAACCTGCCCTTTTTTATGGTTAAGCATCTAACATCAGTATATTGTAAATGAAATAAACAAGATTCCAACTAAGGTAATAAAATTTTTCAACCTCCACCATCTGTTCCAAGGGCAGCAGAACATAATCCAGAAGCTACAATTGCTGCTGGACCGGAGGAGGATCCACCAGTATATCTTTCCATTGCATGAGGGTTTCTGGCTGTTCTGTACCTCAATATTTTGTTAAGTTAAAAAATTAAGATCAGTTCCTTAAATTGATATGGTTTGCCATATCTAAATATGCATCTTTTTTATATCTGCTGGACAACAAATATACCCATAGATTGGATTGTTTCCAGTTGTGCCCATGCCTAACTCATGCATGTTGGCCTTCCCGATAATAATAACACCGCAGCTCCGTGCTCTCGAAACACAAACTGCATCCTTTTCAACAGAGTGAACCTCGTGCATCCATGATGTTGCACCTATTGTTGAAAACAAAAATTCCAATCTATCTTCTTTGCAACGACCAAGAAATTTTCTAGGAACGCTACTTAAAATAAGTGGTGAGCTTAGTTACCCTTAGATGGATGAGGATAGCAGTCTATATCATCCTTGATTGCCATGAAAATCCCATCCAAGATTGACAAAGGATTTCCTGCATGATTCACACCCACAGCTCTTTTTCAGTTGTTCTGATATATAGAAGAACTTTGTTAACGATAATATGTGGATTAAGAGTATTAAATAGCTTCATGAACAAATACCTTCCTCGAACCTTTTTGTCGAAGCTGCAGCTTGCTTCCTTATGTCCTCAGCATCGAATGAAATCAACAACGGTGTTGGGGGCTTATGATAGTTACACTCTTCAATTACTGAAATGATCTTTTCTGCAACCTATAAAACCAAAAGTGGAATTTTCTTTTTAAGAAATAGAGTGGAAGCAACTCTCTGGTGTTTAATGTTGACTTACCATGGAAGGTGTCACAATTGTAGACCGATAAGCATGAGCATAGTCACGAATCTTCCAGTACCGGAACGATGGAAGCAAATCCCCGCTCCAGCAACTAGGTGGATCATAATGAGGAAGACACTTTAAGGCCGATTCAACTCGATCCTCAGGTTTTCGTTCTTCATCCGTGGTGACAACGGAAGGTTCTGCATCTGGTTTGATATGCGCAAATGATCATTTGGTCTTCTGAACTCTGAATTACCACAAATTACTGATATGTTTCTTCCTCAGTTCAGATTTCTCATTCTCAAACTCATCAAAATAACCAAAACAAACATATTACCAATACAAACATGCCAATTGCCATCTTGGAGCATCCAATTTCAAAACTTGTGAACAACAAATTGACCAATTATGACATGATAAAATGCAAAACTATAGAGAAACTAAACCTTGAGGAGGGAATTCAGGTTTAAACATGGGTGCTTCTGGTATCACAGTGTTCTGCAACATCTGCAAAATACCGACAAAAAGAGAACATAAAAATCACCATTGAATTCTCTGGAGAGTACCTATAATTCGAACTGATGAGTAATATAAAAAAGGCACACAAACAAACAGAAAGAGGGCAAAGAAAATGGACCTCGACCATTTTGTTCTGCTTTTTCAAGAAAGACATGATCGAAGAACCTATAACCGGAGCTTCAGCCATCCTCACAAACAGCTTCAGCATCAAACCCGTTAAATGAGGAGCTGCAAAGCACCCAAAACTAAAAATTGTCAAATTCTAAGCCAAAGGATTCAGATAATTCAAATATCCATGAAGAAAAAGACGTTCAGACATTTATACAAATCGTGAAAACTGATACCTTTGATCACTTCAGGCTCGTACTTGACGGTCGACAAGTCCAGTTTCTCGACCGGCACCATAACCTTCTTGTTCCCCATCTCTGCTAATGAAGCTTCGACTTACATATGAGAGCGGTGAATTATATATAAGCTATTTTGGGTGAGTTTGAAGAAGTCTTTAATGGCGTTGACTAGCAAGGTGATGGTCTGGGTGTCTACAAAGCGAGAAATATTCGATGAACCGTCATTTTTACGTATTTTATGTATTAATTAAATGACAACGACATATTATAGCAATTCATTAATTATCGGCTAGATGTAAAAATATTGTCGAATTCGTTAAAAAAAACCGTCTGCCGCCATAAATTTTCTTCAAGTTTCTCTAGAATAAAATCCTTTAAATTTTTAAAAATCTCTTAAAAAATTATAAATTTCAAAAACATAAAATCTTAATATTCATAATCCCTAAAATTGATCTATCACAGTCAAGTTAACCACCCTCGTCCAAAAATTACAAACATTTTAAACTATAAATCTCTAAATTTCTTCAAACGCTATTTAAATAGATGATTCATTGATTCGATTTAAATGATGATAGGGTTTGAGGGATTAATGATAATAAGGGGGTGATTAATTCAACGATACAAAATCATCAATAATAAAGAATCAATGAGTAATTTGAAGTTTGAGGATTTAAGAATTTTAGTATGGTTATTTTGTAACTTTTAATAGTTGAGAGATTTAATAAAATATCGCTATATAGTTAGCGAATCATCTTATAACTTTTAACATAGAATCTTATAACTTTTAACATAGAAAACTCGACAAAATCTATAATTAGGAGAGTATTTGTATATTTTATCCTAAATTTTTTAAATTTTATAAGTATTTCAAGGAGGGAATTTGACTAACAATCCTTACTCAAATTTTCGCCTTAGGTTTTTTAAAATTACTTAGTCTGAATTCATTTAATACATGCAATTTAAAATATTATTTAATATCCGCATTGTACATTTTTAATTTGTTATATTGTTTTTCTTCTTTTATAATTATCTTTTAACTCATATAATTCTAAAAATTATTTTTAATTCATTTTTAATTGTTGTTATTCATAGAGGACCTGGGTTCGAGCACTATAGATGTCAGGAGTGTGAGCGTTCAATGTCGAGAGGTTGAGAGTTATCTTTGAACATATATTGTCTTGTACTTACCCCAGATTAATTAAAAAATATTTATTCAAACAAAATAAACACAAATATTAATAGTCTACAACGGTGCATTTTAAAAGATTAATATTTTAAAAAATCTTCAAAATTTTAAATTATTTTATCCAAATACACCTTTAAATTTTTTACACTTTCATGATATTTTTCTCTTTCATGTGTAATTTACTTTTATTTTAATTTTTCTCTTCAATCTTTTGTTCTACCCTTATAATAACAAAATGATTTGATTAATGATATTTTTATAATTCAATTAAAACATTAAAATATGAAAAAAAATAAAATTTGATCTATAAATTCAGAACAATTAACCTTAAAATAAATATCTTATGATTTTGTCATATTTTATTAGTCAATATCAATGTGAAAATGTTATAAGTTAAAATTCCAATCTCATCCAAATGAACAATTTAAAAGCCATCAAATATAATATGTCAAAGTGGAGATAATTTTAAAGTATAAATGATATCTATGATACTCCGTCAACCATATACAAAAAGACAACTTAATGTATATATATAAAACAAACGAGAGTAAACTACCTATTTGATCATTCATCTATTATTTAATTTTTATTTTGGTCATTTAATTATCATTTTTTAAAAATATACATAATATTACATTTTATTCTTGTTTTGATAATTCGTTATAAAAATATTAATAATAATACTAAAATATCGTCATTAGATAATATTACATTAGTATTCAAAAATAATTTTAAAATGTTCTACGAAAAAGTGAGTAATAGGTGAATGATCAAATAGTTGGTTCACCCAATAAACCATAGCTGATAACTTGTATTATTGGGTCAGCAGCAGTGAATATAAAGCAGTTGGGAAACAAAAATGTCAGGAAATAAAAGTTGTACGTTGAAGTGGTTGGAAACGTTGGTGGGAGAGTTGAGACATCACATTATCGACAAGGTAAGATAAGTGGGGGCGATAAATTAAAAGAACATATTATAAATTATTTAAATTTGATTTAGTTAAATGTTGGTTAATATTTGATTTAAATTTTTAATGAGTCGTAATAAATTATTTGATATTTAATTCGAAATGTTTGTGAGTAACTAAAAAAAATTAATAAAATGTTAAATTTTAAAATTAAATTGTAGTAACATTAACATTTATATGTTGTTGCTTTTTTAACTACACCATAAAAATTTTATGTATTTAAAGTTTAAGTTTGAACTCGAGTTCAAGTTTAAAGCAAGCTTGAGTTCGAGCTTTTTTAACCAAGTTGAGTATGAGAATATTTCAAGTTCATGTATTTTCAAACTCGAGTTAAATTTCATTTCTTTATTTCGAGTTGAACTTGATAATTTTAAACTTATTAACTTTCAAATTAAACTCAAATTTAAACTTTTTGAATCGAATCAAAATCATCAATACTAAAGTTCATGTAACCCCCTAGACCCGGCCTATGCGTTTCGACTAAGTCTAGTGGATCACATTATGATTATTAAATACATTTTTCGAAACCGTTATTCCATCAATATAAAATCACATTATAAATAACCTGAAATTATAAACAAATTATACTATCAAAATCCAAGTCGTAAATATAGTACCAATACATAATAATGTAATTTAAAACATGTCTTCAAATTCAATATCACAATAAACCGAGCAGTATTAGCAAAAGAGTTATCATTATAAAATCCGATATTTTAAAATAAGGTCCATGTCACCAAAATAAAGTCAACTTGCCAGATAAAAACATTACAATCTGATTTACTTCAAGAGATATGTTGATCCTCCAAGTGCTCGAACCAAGGTATCTAACCAACAGTATCTGAAAGGGGAAAACATTTTCAAAAGGTGAGCTAGGCTCAGTGTGTCCCAACATTTCCATAAAATCACAATAGGTACAAATCATAGTCCAGTAATCTCACAAATTCGTAAAAGAGTTTAACTTTTTGAAAATCATAGTTTAAACCCTTTTCCGGTACACCATCAGTAGTTCCCAAAATTATTTTCCATATAGCTTACTTTATGCACATAGCAAAAAGAAAGCCGACTTAAGGATAGGCTCTGAAGCTTGTATCCTTAAGCCCAAGTCAATAAGTCCATATAGCTTACCCTAAGCACACAGCAAAGGAAAGCCGACCTAATGAAACATCTTGAGGCCCTCAAGAGTCACATTAGGCCCAGTTAGCTTGATCAGAGCTATTCCATCGTAATTCAATTCCAAAATTCAATTGCACCGTGACACAAATTCCATAAATCCAAAAACATGGTAATCATATACCAGTTCAAAACAAAAATTAGATAGCAGCCATATTCCATAAATTGTCACATTAAATTGGTGCATCAATAAAACAATAACCAATGAATTCGGTGTACCACATATTAAAACCAATAAAACAGTTCAGTAATAAGTAGGGAACGCACCTCGACAATAGATTCAAATAACAAATCTACTGATTGCTGGTTTCACCACGCTCTGCTATAGTTTTCGAACGGGTGAATACTGGTACACGTGGTTTAACTGATCTAGAAGAGCTGGGTCGAGCTGTCGAACGATCCGGAGAGTCTCTTGTACCTTCAAACAATAATATTTATCAGTCCCAAATCCTATTTAATTGTTCAAAGCTAAACTTCTTAAGTATATAAGCATTTTTCGGGTTTGACTATCAATTTGAGGTATTTCGAGTCTGAATTTGGCCAAACGGATTGCGGAATCGGAATCAGGGCGTCGAAAAACATAAAGTATGACTTTTCAAAAATTCAAATTCTTGGTCAAAGTCAACCACTTTGACTGTAGATTTGGAGACCTTCGGATTCGAATTTTACAAAACGGACCACGGAAACGGATTCGGCACGTCGAAAACTATCAGGATAGGTATACTTGGAAAAGATTAACGGTCGTTAAATGCTCGGTCAAAGCCATTTTAAGTTTTGGTCAAAGAAAGTCAACGGTCAACGGTCAACGGTCGGGTCGAGTCGGATCAACGGTCGGGTCGGGTCGGGTCAACGGTCGGGTCGGGTCAGACCAGTCAAACCGATTCAGACCGGTTAAACCGGTTTCCAGCAGCCACTCGCCCTGCGGCGGCGCGTGTGGCGTCCTCCGGGGCCCTAAAAATCCCGGAAAAATTTCTAAAAATTATTTTGAGCGATTTCGAGATACTTACAACGATCGGTTCAAATTTTTGAACGGCGGAGAGCTCGATTTCAAATCGGCCGAATCTTTGACTGCACCACCTCCTCACGCGCCGCCGTCTACGGCGGACAAGGTTGACACCGGTGAACTCGGAACGGCACAAGGAACACGATGGTGCGGGAGGTGTCGTAAATGGAGCAACGATCAGCGGTGAATTTAAGATTTCCTCGGCGATAGAGCTAACAAAACCGTCGCTACTTTGACTGGAAATTCCCGACGTTTGGCCGCGTTTCGCTTCAATTAATTTGAAGGATTTGTTCCTCGCTCGATGATGAACACAACGGTAGTTTTAAAACGATGATCGGAATTTGGACGGCGTCGGAATCGGAGTTGGAAACTGCGTATGGGAAAGGAAAATTGGGAGCATTTTGGTTCTGAAAATCAGAACCAAATGTACGCTTATAATCAAAGCTGCCGACAGTTTTAGGGTAAATTCAAGGCTTGGTTTTTGGATTTCCTTCACTTCTAAAATGGCCTATAAACTCTCATAAATTTTGATTTAGTCACCAACAATTTACCAATTTTCACAATTAACCTCCAATTTCAATTTAATATTATTTTGTAAATATTCGGGTTGTTACAATTCTCCCCCTCTACAAGGAAATTTCGTCCTCGAAATTTACCTTATGAGAATAGTTGAGGAAACTGAGCCTCCATTGACTCCGATGTCTCCCAAGTAGCTTCTGAGGGGCCTCGATTACTCCACTGAACTTTGACCATTGGAATTCGTCTATTCCGAAGAACTCGTTCATCTCTCTCCAAGATCTGAATGGGCTCCTC